AGCGTGGCACCTACGTACCAGTCCGTGAAAGTTTTTTCCAAGTAAGTTGCTAACTCGAGAATGTGAGGAGCTAGAAAACTGGAATTTTGAAGGGATGTTTCTTGACAGTTCTATCGGCCAGTCTGAAATTCTTTTAGCTAAAAAGATCTGTCGAAAAAAACAGTGCCGTTGGTGACAAAAATCAGCTGAGAGCTATGCAAAAAACGCATCTTCGCACGTGCAGCCGGTGCGTTGGCCGATTATTTTGTATAGCAAAAACAACACATGCCATCATTTTATTGCAGCACAACAGTGACGAAAAAGTGAACGTGTTGGTAAGCAGTAATGATTTATTAACTGCTATGATGCAGTTCTCTGGGCGGCAGTTTGGGTATGCCTGCGACAATGGACGACTCAATACCGCATTCATCAAATCCACGTAGGATACGGAAATATCATGCAAAAAAGGATTATAAAAGCAAATTAAACGAAATAAAACAGGCATTCCTCAAAACAGTCACAACTACCCGATCTTGACAAAACGATTGTTTTTATCCTTGAATTCGTACAAAATCTGTGTTGAATTTCCTTTGGCAGTGTTTTATCTTCCCAAGAAAACAGAATTTTCTAAAAGATGGAGAATCAATAAATTTTTGCGCGCTTTCCTTTATGAATAATGCAGTAATTTAGCAATATTGGAAGAAGCAACGCTTTTTTTAACACGGATCAAAGTCAACGAACCGTCTTCACCCCAATCTCTATTCCAGGAATTGGCCATCAACCAGTATGGGGTTTTATTTTCTTCGCCCCAACCGAGAATTTTGACAGCGTGTTTGTTGCGGTATTCTCCCGCTACGTGCTGAAAAGTGCATTGTGCAATAAATTCAGCGTTTTCCTCGAAATATTCATCAAAATACGTAAAGAACACGCACCACAATTCAACTGCTGCTTGTGATCAGAAGAATGCTGTGTATATCGAATTCAAGCGTCGTCTACATAAACACAATCATTGGTGGTGCGCACCAGGCGAGCCGGTTTGATAATGCATTTTTGTACTATTTCATGTTTTAGTGAGATCGCTTGGAATCGCAGTGACTAGAACTTGTGAATGGCTGGTTTCCGAGGTTCAGGCTGTTAATTGTGCGCCTTTGTCAGTCGTCGACGAAGAGTGTCAATCACTGTTGACGAACAGTGCCCCCAGAAAGTGCGAAAATTACACGTAAGCGCCTTTTTGTTGCACTGGGAACGAATATCGCTAAAATTATGCTAATAATTTCAATGTAAATTTGCATAATCATGAGAAGAATAGCCACACGTATAGTGTGACGTGGAATGCTGGGATCAAAATGAAATTTGTCCAGCTAGCCAAAATTAGTAGCTGAAATCCGCCCAGCACTCTGCGAGGAAATGGCATGGACGAGGATTACTCTTACATCTTTGGGATCACACTAAGATGATCAAAAATTCATTAGCCTAGAAAGTGTTCACGGGAAAAGACGCTTAACATATAATGTACCTAGGTACGATACACGAGCCACAGATGCCAGTTTAATGCATGAAGGTTTGCACATGGATAACTGATCCTGTGTTGTCTGAGTAGCAAATTAAATTGATCCCAGCAGTATTATTTGTTCATGCATGAGACCTGGACTTGTGTGTAAGGTGAATTCAAATGTTCCTGTTACGCATAATCATTACCCAAAGATTTCAGATCCCCAGCTCAATCATCTCTCGAAGTCGCTTTTCCTCCAAAAATCGTTTGACATGCTGGTGCGTATGATGCAGATGTATGCTAGTCCCATTTAACGTGCACAGACTCATACATACACAGCAAATAATTTGTTCAGTCTAATCTCCTAGTTGGCATTTTTCCAGGCACTACGCATTCTCATGTTTAATCTGTCCACACTACGTACTCCTTGCGTTCGAGCTGTTTTAAAAATCGCTAGCTCATATAAAAACACATAATATGTCTGTGAGTTTTCAGATTTCCACCTTACCTAATTCCCCAAGTCGATTTCCCCTCAGAAAATTCGCATGGATTTTTTAAGGAATTCCTACGTAAAATCCAGGCTTAGGAAAACGATAATTTTTAGACATGAGGGGGCGATTCCTCGCCTTGCTCCCCTACCCCCTTCTCAAACCATAAAACTCAAAAAAAAATAAATAAATAAATAAAATAAATAAAATGATGTGTCATCTTTCGATGACACCCCGCCGCGGAGTCGGGAATCGACG